AGACCCAGAGTTACCTCTGCTGCAGAGGATAAGTTAATTAGATTTACCAGCCTCATAAATTGCAGCCCAAATAAATGCTTCAGAGTTCAAGTCACAGACACATCTCAACATCAACTGTTCATAGGGGACTGTGTGAATCAGGCCTTCATGGTCTAATTACTGCAAAGAAACCACTACTAAAGGACACCAATAAGAAGAAGAGACCTGCTTGGGCCAAGAAACACGAGCAATAGACATTAGACCAGTGGAAATGTGTCCTTTGGTCTGGAGTCCAAATTGGAGATTTTTGGTTCCAACCCCTGTGTCTTTGTGAGACGCGGTGTGGGTGAACGGATGATCTCCGCATGTGTAGTTCCCACCGTAAAGCATGAAGGAGGAGGGGTTATGGTGTGGGGGTGCTTTGCTGGTGACACTGTCTGTGATTTATTTAGAATTCAAGGCACACTTAACCAGCATGGCTACCACAGCATTCTGCAGCAATACGCCATCCCATCTGGTTTGGGCTTAGTCCCACTATCATTTGTTTTTCAACAGGACAATGACCCAACACACCTCCACGCTGTGTAAGGGCTATTTTACCAAAAAGGAGAGTGATGGAGTGCTGCATCAGATGACCTGGCCTCCACAATCCCCCGACCTCAACCCAATTGAGATGGTTTGGGATGAGTCGGACGGCAGAGTGAAGGAAAAGAGGCCAACAAGTAAGTGCTCAGCATATGTGGGAACTCCTTCAAGACTGTTGGAAAAGCATTCCTCATGAAGCTGGTTGAGAGAATGCCAAGAGTGTGCAAAGCTGTCATCAAGGCAAAGGGTGGCTATTTGAAGAATATCTAATATAAAATATATTTTCATTTGTTTAACACTTGTTTTGGGTTACTACATGATTCCATGTGTTATTTCATAGTTTTGATGTCTTCACTATTATTCTACAATGTAGAAAATAGTAAAAATAAAGAAAACCCTTGAATGAGTAGGTGGGTCCAAACTTTTGACTGGTACTGTAAGTATTCAGACACTTTACTCAGTACTTTGTTGAAGCACCTTTGGCAGCGATTACAGCCTTGAGTCTTCTTGGGTATGATGCTACAAGCATGGCACACCTGTATTTGGGGAGTTTCTCCCATTCTTCTCTGCAGATCCTCTCAAGCTCTGTCAGGTTGGATGGGGAGCGTCGCTGCACAGCTATTTTTGGGTCTCTCCACAGATGTTTGATCAGATTCAAGTCCAGGCTCTGGCTGGGCCACTCAAGAACATTCAGAGACTTGTCCCGAAGCCACTTCTGCGTTATCTTGGCTGTGTGCTTAGGGTTGTTGTCCTGATGGAAGGTGAACCTTCGCCCCAGTCTGAGGTCTTGAGTGCTCTGGAGCAGGTTTTCATCAAGGATCTCTCTGTACTTTGCTCCGTTCATCTTTCCCTCGATCCTGACTAGTCTCCCAGTCCCTGCCGCTAAAAAACATCCCCACAGCATGATGCTCCTGAGTGGCGCAGCGGTCTAAGGCACTGTATCTCAGTGCTAGAGGCGTCACTACAGACCCTGGTTCGATTCAAGGCTGTAACAGAAAGTTTTTTGTACCCTTCCCCAGATCTGTGGCTCGACACAATCCTGTCTTGGAGCTCTACGGACAATTCCTTCGACCTCATGGCTTGGTTTTTGCTCTGACATGCACTGTCAACTGTGGGACCTTATATAGACAAATCATGTCCAATCAATTGAATATACCACAGGTGGACTCTCATATGAAAGGGTCTGAATACTTATGTAAATAAGGTATTTCTGTTTTTTATTATTTATACATTTGCAAAAAATTCGATAAAACTGTGTTCGCTTTGTCATTATGGGGTATTGTGTGTAGATTGATGTAAAAATAATTGTATCCATTTTAGAATAAGGCTGTAACGTACCAAAACGTGGAAAAAGTCAAGGGTCTGAATACTTTCCGAATGCACTGTAGTAAAAATTCATGAAGACAAAAATGTAAGCTCTTCTGCCTGCTGTCTGCCTGTCTGTCTGCCTGTCTCTGTCTGCCTGCCTGTCTGCCTGCCTGCCTGCTGTCTGCCTGTCTGTCTGCCTGCTGTCTGTCTGCCTGTCTGTCTGCCTGCCTGTCTGTCTGTCTGTCTGTCTGTCTGTCTGTCTGTCTGTCTGTCTGTCTGTCTGTCTGCCTGCTGTCTGTCTGCCTGTCTGTCTGCCTGCTGTCTGTCTGTCTGTCTGTCTGTCGTTCCTCTGTCTTCTCCTCTGCTTCTTGTGCCCGGGGAGATAGGGAGGCTTGAGACGTGATGGCCAGTATTAAAAAAGGCTTTTTATCTAGACTCCTGTTACTCATCCTTGTCATAATTTTTCTGTCTGGGTACTGTAGAGATGCATTCACCACCAAATATCTTTTTTGAGGGGGATGTGCTCAACATCGTGAAACACTATCATTTTTCACTTGCTATCTGCCTCTGCAATCTAGCTAAAGGGTGTGGCTGTCACTGAAGCGACACAGAGTCACTTATTTTCATGTGTGTTTGTGCACTGTGTACTCTCTTGCTATTTATGTTGAGTGTCTGTATTGTGTAAACTGGAGGAACCTACTGTTTGTTGGGAGATGATGATGACACCTGATTTCTGTCGTTGTCCCTTCAGCTTTTTTTACTGCAAAGTCTGTAACGCAAGAAAAGGGTGTAATTTCCTCTGCAACAGCAACGGTTTCTGCTGCTGCCAATGGTTCATTCAGTACAGAGCCTTGCGAAGAACCTAATTGGTGACAGCAAGAGGTCACTTTTTTAGGTTAGGAATGAGAAAAGGCCTACATCTAGTAATCCCTTAGATGTAGCTGTATGTCCACAAGTGTTTGTATACAGGTGTGTCTCTAGGTATGTTTGCTGTGTTTAATTAATAATAGGCCTGCAGTGTACTGAAGGCCAGATGGAGTGACCGTCCTTTGTGTTGTGTTGCCTGTTATTCAGACAGTCATTGTCCCTGACACCCCCCATCCATCCATCTGAGCGGAGCTGGAATTCTGGCGGAATGTATCGGGGTTTTTCCCCCTCTGTGGTCAGAATGTTATAGAATGCTTTAGAACAATCAGTTACCCCCTCACTCCACAGCAGCACACCTCAGGACAGCACCTTTACTTTTTTAACAAGTTTGAAAATGACTTATTTATTACAGTTAGACAGTAATATATTACCTAACCTGACCATGGAACATATTCACTTACTATGACCATTCTACTGGAAAACTCCTGTGAATAACTGGTTCAACAGTGAAAAATGTATCTTCCGGGCTTTGTTTGGAGGTTATTGGCTGATGAGGACCATTTCTTTTGACTGATTGGTCCATCTGACTGTGAGTAGTACTGTCCCAGTTTCTAGCTGCTGACAGTTACACACCGTTTGCATGGCAATGCAGCCCTGTCTTGATGAAATGGGTCACCACTGGCACTGCACCACACACTTGGCCCTTCTCTCTCTCTGTGCTCCAACTCTTGAGTGTTTTCTGTGGCCCATCTGAACGTTGCATTTCACAGTGACCTGTTTCTGTCTAGATCTCTCTGCAGAGTGCATTCGTTTCCCCCAGCCAAGTTTTCAACTGCTGAGCTGTGGATTGTTTGTGCTATCAAAAAATAGAATCATGGGGACTAATAGGAATGGCACTTGGAACAGCTGATGATGTACAGAGGTGAAGTTCAGGCCACTCTGCTTGTCTGTCTGTCCGCTCCACTCCAGCCAGGCTTGGCCAGGACCCTGTAACAGTCAAGGTTGCCAGATCCAGACCTAGACTCAGTCCAGGAGGGGTGAGGTTATCCTCCTCTCTTCCTACCAGATAACAACCACTGGTTATGATGGCACACACACACAATAACACACACACACAAGAACACACTCGAGCCCACCACCTCTCTAAGACATCCATGAATCCCAGATAACCTGGGCAAGTGTTCTGTTGCTAAACCCCCATGCATGAGCAGCCATATTCACAACCATAGAATTCCATTTATTTGTTAATTGCTATCTTTATTTTAATGTTTAACAATTTATATGGACGTCAAACATCCCATTATAATCCCAGCCTACCAAACAGTGACTTATTGCAGTGCAGTGCATTCCTTGTACCCCTTAGCAGTGTTTCTAGAGGGAGAAGTAACATTCCAGTCCTCCCAGTCAGGGGTAGTAGTGGGGTATAGGAGGTGTCAGAGCTGCTTCACAGGGGTCAAAGAGTCAAGCACAGAGGGGTTTGGGGGAATTTAATTGAGCAGATTTTCTCGGCAACAACCAAAGGGCAGAGTGGTCACGCTGGTCGTTTCTGATTATTACTTTGTAGAAAAAGAGATTCCAGAATTAGTACATTTTGGTATCTGGGTTCAAGTTGTCATGGGACAGCAGACGCGTCAGTCATTTGGGTTGTCATACATGCTTGACTACAGGGTGGCAACTCACTGAACTGGTTTCTGTCTGAGCTCTCAGATAAGACGTTTAGCATGTAGTCATGGGACGTGCTCTGTAAAAGGGGTTCAGTTAGATTTAATGGTCCTCCATTATCTTCTGTGCGTTTCTGTATCTGGTCTGATAACAACTAACCTCAGTCCATCTCATTAGAAGTAATCCTGCTTTACAACAATAGTTTGCTAAGGCCTGCGAGGAGCTTACATGCTCCACAATAGAGCCTTTGGGCATCACACAATAACTATATAGCGCTACAGTGACATGGTTTAAAAGATACGTTTGGGATGTGTGGACTTTTCTGGAGTGAGTTTAAGTGTGTTGAGTCTGTTCTGGTCTAGCAGTAGAGACCCTGCAACAAAAAGATGTGTATAGAGTTAACATAGAGTTTGCTGAGCCTAACTCATTATGAAGGGCTCCTCCCAGACCCCACACTTCAAATAAAACACCTGCCACAGCCAGTCTCTGAGTTGGTCATTGATGGATACATACATGTTTCAAGTTGAAAACCCACCTCCCTCCCTGATAGGGTACACCCATGTCAAAGCAAGGGATGAACACCAAAACTATTCCTCCACATGCCTCACTCCATCCTAGTGTCACCCAAAGAGAGCTGTGAAGTCTGCAGGCTGTCATCTCGGAGTGAACTGCTGCTGGCCCTCTCCAGACCTCTGAGACCTCTCTGCCTGACCGCATGCCTGCCTGAACTGGCTGCCTGCCCATCACTGTCCCTCCCTCCCCCCTCCACCTCTCTCTCCTCCTGAACAAACCCATTAGCGTTTGATTTAAAGGATCCTCAGCAGGGAGAAGGGGCTTCTTTAAACCTTGTAAAGTGGCCCCCTAATCCTTCAAGTACTGCCATAAATCACCTCAGGATTACCACCGCTCTGCCACGCAGCCAGCTGCTTCCTGGCCCTGTCATCGGGCAGGGCACCAGGCGGTGGGGTGGGGTGGGGTGTGGTGTGGTGCCGCCTGTCTCTGTCCCCTGCCCCAGCGTAGGAGCTGTTAGCTAGGGCTGGGAATTGCCAGGGACCTCACGATATGATATTATCACTATACTTAGGTGCCGATATATGTATTGCGATTCTCACGATTCTATATGTATTGTGATTCTCATGATTCTATATGTATTGTGATTCTCACGATTCTATATGTATTGTGATTCTCATGATTCTATATGTATTGTGATTCTCATGATTCTATATGTATTGTGATTCTCATGATTCTATATGTATTGTGATTCTCATGATTCTATATGTATTGTGATTCTCATGATTCTATATGTATTGTGATTCTCATGATTCTATATGTATTGTGATTCTCACGATTCTATATGTATTGTGATTCTCACGATTCTATATGTATTGTGATTCTCACGATTCTATATGTATTGTGATTCTCACGATTCTATATGTATTGTGATTCTCACGATTCTATATGTATTGTGATTCTCACGATTCTATATGTATTGTGATTCTCACGATTCTATATGTATTGTGATTCTCACGATTCTATATGTATTGTGATTCTCACGATTCTATATGTATTGTGATTCTCACGATTCTATATGTATTGTGATTCTCATGATTCTATATGTATTGTGATTCTCATGATTCTATATGTATTGTGATTTGATACTGTGATTTTATTGCGTTTCGATGTTCCAAACGTATTGCTACCCATATGTCTGCCTGAGAGTTTTGATCAGTCATGGAAATAGAAATGTTGAAAACAAATTGGCTCCCTATTTAAAAGAAGGAGAATAATCTATGAAGGAATAATACTGGAGTTTTGGTGCAGCCAACTAGCGCAAAAATAATATTGTGATATTGTCAAAACGATACGATATGATGCAATATATCATCAAAGATAATATCCCGATATGTAACTATCGATTCCCCCCCCCACATCACTACTGTTAGCCTGGACCCAGGTGGGGCATGGCTCAGCCTAATTGACCTCCTGCTCCAGGGGTGTGTGAGGCGTGAGACAGCAGGATAGCGTCAGTCCAGATTGGGCACTAGCTTCCTGGTAATTTATCCTAAGTCACTGTGTGACACGACTTTGCCCTGGGGAGAGATATTCTGCCAGACAACACCTATGTCTAGATCACAAGTAACATAGCCTTCAGCATGAGGAGTGTAGCCTGTATCACAATACGGGTACTAAATTGTGGTGTTTCTTTCAAACAGAGCATGACCTATTGGACCTGTCCATTACAGAGGTCTGTCTTTGTCAGGTGGCACATCTCACCAGGAGCTCTGCGTTATGCATCTCACTCACACTAATTCTCTCTCACATGGAGAACCATTTCACTGTGTCTTAGAGATAGCGTGAAGCTTTCCTTAACACCATGAAACACACCAGTGTGGCTTTGTTTTTATAACTGAGGAATTATAAGATTGTGAAGCCATTACCTTTTTATGATAGGATTTGGAGATGCTCTAATCTTTACTACAGTTAACATCACACAACTTCAGAAATTATCTTATTTTTTACCTCACTGCTTTTTTACCTCATAGCTCATCTGATTTAATTCCATTGTATAACAATTTTAGTTAATTTTCACAGTTAATTTATTATGTGTGTGCCTCTAGCCACTAGGCTGTAATGCTATTTTCTTCCCTAGATCTAGCTCGCACAGACCAAGACCATGTGACCTAGAATTGAGGTCACCTTGTTTGGAGGCAGGTTTAGCATCTTACTCCTCTGCTCCATATGTCTGTGCTGCCTCTGCTACTGTTTAATTCATGGTGTCCCCTTTATCTTCCTGGAACATTATAGGGAAGTATTCTCTTCAGACTCCAACACAATTCTGTGCTCGTTCCTGCAATATTGCATCATTGATTTTCCTGGTCCTTCACCTATGTGTTGGTTAGCATCATTGTGAGCCATGAGCTGGGCTATTCAAGGCTGGTCTCCCATCCAGACGGTGCAGTCTCAGACGACTGGCGGACGCCCCGTCAGCATCCCAGTCACTTAGGTTCAGTTAGGGGCCTAAAGAACCCGTTACTAAGCTGTCTGTCAACGCAGTAATCCCAATGACCTAATGGCATAGCTCAGCTGTGAAATGAAGGTCCCCATGATTTACTGGCTATGTCATCAGTCTCAGTCTGAGGGGTGATTCAGGCATTTTAATGGCCATATAAGACTACATAAGTGTTTGTCTCAAACAAAATCGCATCCCCTCTAAATATCTATTTTGCTGACCGTATTGAAGTATTGGACGTGGAATAGGTTATTACAAAGCAATGAATGACTTCACACTTACCTGCCAGTCACCATGAGCTGGTTTCTGATTGGTTTACCCTCTCATCAACCCGCCCTCCTCCCCTCTGCTCTCCAGATGATTGGTTTAACATTAACCCGCCCTCCTCCCGTCTGCTCTCCTCTCCTCTGCAGATGAGCGTGAAGCAGTGCAGAAGAAGACCTTCAATAAGTGGGTGAACTCTCACCTGGGCCGTGTGACGTGCCGCATCGGGGACCTGTACACTGACCTGAGAGATGGACGCATGCTCATCCGCCTGCTGGAGGTGCTGTCAGGAGAACAGCTGGTCAGTAACTCACAATCCTCCTAACCCTGACCCTAACCTTAACCCTGACCAATCACTCATGGCTCTTGTCTCTCTTTGATTTCTCTCTCTCTGTGCTCCTCTCTCTGTGCTCCATTCTTCCTCTCCCTTTCTGTTTTCCATGTCTCTTTCCATCACTCTCTCACACCAACCTGACTCTTCCCCCTTCTCTCTCTCTTGTCTCTCTCCAGCCGAAGCCCACTAAGGGGCGTATGCGTATCCACTGCCTGGAGAATGTGGACAAGGCCCTGCAGTTCCTCAAGGAGCAGAAGGTCCACCTGGAGAACATGGGCTCCCACGACATCGTGGACGGGAACCACCGCCTTACCCTGGGTCTCATCTGGACCATCATCCTCCGCTTCCAGGTACCATGTGACTCCTTGTAATGTTCTGTACAATGCCTTTCTATATGCCTTCCTAGAGAGTAGAGGGCACACGTGAATATTACACATCCCAGCCCAGTCGTGTCCCGTTCGTCACCCTCACCTGGGTCAACCCCACCCTGCATAGTTCAAAACTAATGGGAATGGAAGCAATTACTACTGTTCTGTGGTTTTCTGGGGCCATTGTGGTTTCAGAGAATGTTAATATTCTGATGAGATTTGAGTGTTCAATTTTTCCCTCATCTTCTTTTCATGACGAGAGAGAGAGAGAGAGAGAGAGAGAGAGAGAGAGAGAGAGAGAGAGAGAGAGAGAGAGAGAGAGAGAGAGAGAGAGAGAGAGAGAGAGAGAGAGAGAGAGAGAGAGAGAGAGAGGACTAAGTAGGCAGCGTGTCTGACTGAGAGGGTACTCTGCTCTACTGACAGATCCAGGACATCAGTGTGGAGACTGAGGATAACAAGGAGAAGAAGTCAGCTAAAGAGGCTCTGCTGCTCTGGTGTCAGATGAAGACCGCTGGGTGAGAAGGGGGAGAGGGAGATATTCTAGGATGTGTCCAGTAATGTGAATGTATGATAAAGATATGTGAAATGAAAGGAGTTATTTTATTTAAAGAATTTCCAGTGTTTGTCAACACCAAAAGAGCCTGGGTACTGAGTTGATGATTAATGAGCTGTCACCTTGTCTCTGCAGGTACCCCAACGTCAACGTTCACAACTTTACCACCAGCTGGAGAGATGGCCTGGCGTTCAACGCCATCGTGCACAAACACAGGTCAATGACCTTCCCCCTTTGTCCATGTTGCAATGTCACACTATAAAATGCGGTTGTCACTCATGTTAACTGTAGGCCCTGGCATTGCTCGCTGACCGTGTCAAGTGATATATTAATTCTGTCCGTGACTTGATGTTTAGTACCTTGGCCTGTTGGCCTTGCAGTGTCGTTGAGGAATACGCCTGTTGACACCCAGCCTCCCTGGGGGGGGGTGGGGGGGGGGTCTGTATCCCCATTCTCTATCTGGGTTTGTTCTCTCTCTCTCCAAACCCTCTGCACTTTGGCTAAATGGATGAAAATAAAATGGGAGTTAGTTGACCTAGATAATTAATAAAACCAACTCGTTTTGCATGCAAGGCCATGCCTGGTGACTCACCGCCACCCTCTGCTGGTGACTCATACTGCATTAAGGTGGGAGTTAGGCTCCTAGAGAGTCTGATTTTAACATGACAACAACTCTGTAACAAATGGAAGCCCATGGATGACGCCCATCAGTCAAATACTGGCACATGAATGTATGCCTGCAGCTATTGTATATTGCTCACTTGAGACTCAAAGTACGAGTAGTTTGAAATGTGGACTGAATGAGCTACAAAGCAATCATGTATTTTCTGTCACTGCCATTTTCCTTATCTGATTAGAATGGGGTCGCTCTGAATAAGTGGAATAATGTTGAAGTTGACTTTGCCTACACTTATCTTAGAACATACAAAATCATGGTGACGTGTTGATGAACTCAACTTGTACTGGTTAAGATGCTGTCATTACCCCTTATACATGAGATTCCTTTCGTTAAAAGCAACACCTGTTTTCCCCTACAGACCGGATGTGATTGAGTTTGACACCCTGAAGCGGTCCAACGCCCACTATAACCTCCAGAATGCCTTCAACACAGCAGAGAATAAGCTAGGCCTCACCAAACTCCTGGACCCTGAAGGTGAGTCAGGGAGGTCAGAGCTCAGACTGGACACGGATTGGGCTGTGTGTGGCCTCTGCCCTTCCCCTCTGGACAGTTGCCACCAACACAGTGCTCCTGTCCTGTACGGGGCTAGGTGGACGGGCTGGATAGGGTGTGGGAGGAGGAAGGGATGGAGGATTACTGGAATGAATTACAACTTAAGTAAGAATAGGGGCTATTTGGCTAGGCTGGCTTAATGTTGCCCTCTGACATCACAGAGGAAGTCCATACATGGTGAGGGGTTGGCAACGCTCTGGGGCAATCAATCAGGGCAGATTTAGAGACGAGCACCACGTGTGTTTAAGTTGAATTGACTGGGTTGAGATGGGAGACTGTTTGTGTGGGAGTGTGTGTCAGTGTGTGTTCGACTGTGTGGAAGTTTGTGTGTCTGACTGTGTGTGTGTGCGTGTTTGTGTCAATGTGTGTCTGACTGTGTGTGTGTGTGTCTCAGTATGTGTGTGATTGTGTGCATGCAGAAGTGTGTGGAGAGGAGGTGAGGAGCACAGTGAGAGGATCAAGTGTAAATGAACTTGAATGCTGAAGTAGTGCCTGTCTCTCTTTCCAGATGTTAACGTTGACCAGCCAGATGAGAAGTCCATCATCACCTACGTGGCCACCTACTACCACTACTTCTCCAAGATGAAGGCCCTGGCTGTGGAGGGCAAGAGGGTTGGCAAGGTGGGGTACAATGGCTAACAATTTATGGGTCTGTGCGTGCGTGTCTTCCTGTCACTGTCTTTGGAGCCCATCTAACCCCTCTCTCTCTCTCCCTCCCAGGTGCTGGACTATGCTATTGAGGCTGACCAGCTAGTAGGGAACTATGAGAGCCTGGCGTCAGAGCTGCTGCAGTGGATCGAGCAGACCATCCTCACCCTGAACGACCGGCAGCTGGCCAACTCCCTAAACGGCGTGCAGAACCAGCTGCAGGCCTTCAACACCTACCGCACAGTGGAGAAACCCCCAAAGTAAGACTGGGAAATGTAGAATTTAAGAACAGGAGTGATGTTCTAGATTGGAACATAGAACTCAAGTTGACAGATACACATGTTCCAGCAGGTTGGAATCATAACTGCACATATTCCATGGTAAGTGTCTGACCTGGCTGTGTTGGTGTTCCTCAGGTTCACAGAGAAAGGCAACCTGGAGGTGCTGCTGTTCACCATCCAGAGCAAGATGAGAGCCAACAACCAGAAGGTGTACATTCCCAGGGAGGGAAAGCTCATCTCTGACATCAACAAGGTATCAATGTCGCTCAGCTGTACACCCACAGGGCTCCAGTTACTCGCTGTTTAAATGCAATACTTATCCTGAATAGAGCTTCAGTAAACAACAGTTAACCCTGCAGGTGTCTAGGATCGTGAATAACACCCCTGTTTAAGGGACCTCTCTGACTAGGTGTGTTGTGATTGGCTCTGCAGGCGTGGGAGCGTCTGGAGAAGGCGGAGCACGAGCGGGAGCTGGCGCTGAGGAACGAGCTGATTCGCCAGGAGAAGCTGGAGATGCTCGCCGCTCGCTTCGACCGCAAGGCCGCCATGAGGGAGACCTGGCTGAGCGAGAACCAGCGGCTCGTCTCTCAGGTAACACACACACTCTCACACCCCTGGCCTTGACCTGGTCATATATTCAAAATCAGGAGGATGGCAGTTATATTGTCTGTCTCCCAGGTGTCCACAGACCAGAGATAACAGTAATCATAAGTGATGGTTGTGATGACATTATTTTGAGTGGACAGGTTTACTGCAGACCAGCCAGTCTAATGATCTCAGTAATGCAGAGGGGAGTGATTATCTAAATGACTACAGACACACTGTAGCCAGCTGATCTCCATTGAATGGTGTTTACAACCATGATTTGTTATCACTGTCATTTCTAGAAGTGAGAGTGGATTTAGCAATTTAATAGACTACCCTTGTATGCATTTGAACACATTGACCCTTTCTATCACAGATAAGTTAATTACCAACTTCTCCCACTTCTGACCTCACTCTGTCCTCTTGTCCCTCAGGACAACTTTGGAGTGGAACTGGGAGCGGTGGAGGCCGCCACCCGTAAACACGAGGCCATCGAGACGGACATTGGGGCGTACGGGGAGCGTGTGGCGGCCGTAGAGTCGGTGGCCAGGGAGTTGGAGGCGGAGAACTACCATGACGTGCGACGTGTGCTGGCGAGGAGGGACAACGTGCTGCGGCTGTGGGAGTATCTGAAGGAGCTGTTAGCTGCTCGCAGGGAGAGACTCCACGCACACCGAGACCTGCAGAGACTGCTGGAGGAGATGAGATACATCATGGACTGGATGGGAGACATGAAGGTACTGGAACATATCAACATGCCAACTCTGCACATACAATATATTCTCCCAGTGTAGAATATGTACTGTTGGTCATGGTCAACCTTCTGTAATCCTGTCAATTTCACACTATCAACCCTGCATGCTAGTACTCCTTTCAAAATGGTTACAACTCCTGGGCGTAATGGGTTTACAGAGGTTGACTGAGGACTGAGGTAGTCCTGACTGTGAGAATGGCAGAATGAAGTCTGCCTGAGTGTATTCTTAGCTCTTGGCCTCAGCTGATTCCCTTTCCCCTGCCTACCTTAAAGGGCAACTCCACCACTTTTCAACCTCGTATTCATTGTCTCCAGCACCATACCAGTGTCTATATACAGTGGGGGAAAAAAGTATTTAGTCAGCCACCAATTGTGCAAGATCTCCCACTTAAAAAGATGAGAGAGGCCTGTAATTTTCATCATAGGTACACGTCAACTATGACAGACAAATTGAGAAAAAATAATCCAGAAAGTCACATTGTAGGATTTTTTATGAATTTATTTGCAAATTATGGTGGAAAATAAGTATTTGGTCACCTACAAACAAGCAAGATTTCTGGCTCTCACAGACCTGTAACTTCTTCTTTAAGAGGCTCCTCTGTCCTCCACTTGTTACCTGTATTAATGGCACCTGTTTGAACTTGTTATCAGTATAAAAGACACCTGTCCACAACCTCAAACAGTCACACTCCAAACTCCACTATGGCCAAGACAAAAGAGCTGTCAAAGGACACCAGAAACAAAATTGTAGACCTGCACCAGGCTGGGAAGACTGAATCTGCAATAGGTAAGCAGCTTGGTTTGAAGAAATCAACTGTGGGAGCAATTATTAGGAAATGGAAGACATACAAGACCACTGATAATCTCCCTCGATCTGGGGCTCCACGCAAGATCTCACCCCGTGGGGTCAAAATGATCACAAGAACGGTGAGCAAAAATCCCAGAACCACATGGGGGGACCTAGTGAATGACCTGCAGAGAGCTGGGACCAAAGTAACAAAGCCTACCATCAGTAACACACTACGCCGCCAGGGACTCAAATCCTGCAGTGCCAGACGTGTCCCCCTGCTTAAGCCAGTACATGTCCAGGCCCGTCTGAAGTTTGCTAGAGTGCATTTGGATGATCCAGAAGAGGATTGGGAGAATGTCATATGGTCAGATGAAACCAAAATAGAACTTTTTGGTAAAAACTCAACTCGTCGTGTTTGGAGGACAAAGAATGCTGAGTTGCATCCAAAGAACACCATACCTACTGTGAAGCATGGGGGTGGAAACATCATGCTTTGGGGCTGTTTTTCTGCAAAGGGACCAGGACGACTGATCCGTGTAAAGGAAATAATAAATGGGGCCATGTATCGTGAGATTTTGAGTGAAAACCTCCTTCCATCAGCAAGGGCATTGAAGATGAAACGTGGCTGGGTCTTTCAGCATGACAATGATCCCAAGCACACCGCCCGGGCAACGAAGGAGTGGCTTCGTAAGAAGCATTTCAAGGTCCTGGAGTGGCCTAGCCAGTCTCCAGATCTCAACCCCATAGAAAATCTTTGGAGGGAGTTGAAAGTCCGTGTTGCCCAGCGACAGCCCCAAAACATCACTGCTCTAGAGGAGATCTGCATGGAGGAATGGGCCAAAATACCAGCAACAGTGTGTGAAAACCTTGTGAAGACTTACAGAAAACGTTTGACCTGTGTCATTGCCAACAAAGGGTATATAACAAAGTATTGAGAAACTTTTGTTATTGACCAAATACTTATTTTCCACCATCATTTGCAAATAAATTCATAAAAAATCCTACAATGTGATTTTCTGGAAAAAGAATTCTCATTTTGTCTGTCATAGTTGACGTGTACCTATGATGAAAATTACAAGCCTCTCTCATCTTTTTAAGTGGGAGAACTTGCACAATTGGTGGCTGACTAAATACTTTTTTTCCCCACTGTATGTGAAAATTAGGGATGTAACGATTCACTGATACGCATTGGTCGCCGATTGAAATGTTTAAGATACAAGTGCATCGGACCTCAAACCGATCCAAATGTAGCATGCATCGGTCAGAAAATCTATTGAAACGTTACGAATTGCCAGTTCACTAAAATGTTTTGCTCATACTACATTATTTCTACCGTCCGAAAATACCTCAAACTGATGTGTCCTCTTTCAAGGTGGAACTGCATGTAACTGTGTTGACAGTCATTGATCTGCAAGTCATTTTGCATGCCGAACAACCCCAGGCCTAGTCAAACTGTGCACTATGCCCAGCTTCGCGCGTTGACCAACGCGAGGTATGCGGCCTGTTCCTGATCTTGCACATTGCGCAGCACCTTCAGCAATGTCTTGTGTGATATTAGGCTTTCTTAGTTGAGTGACAACCTATGTAATTTGCTAGGTTATTGTTATCTATGCGCTGTTGAAAATGGTGTTTTTACCGGAATAAAAGTAAGCAATCGGAGACACAACTCTCATCTGGCTATACCTGCTTACAACAGATTTTATTTAGATTGTTCAGGTTCACCATCAGCAATAGTTTTGGTAGTTTTGCTTTAAATAATCAGTGTACAGTCGTGGTCAAAAGTTTTTAGAATGACACAAATATTAATTTTCACTAAGTCTGCTGCCTCAGTTTTTTATGATGGCAATTTGCATATACTCCAGAATGTTATGAAGATTGATCAGATGAATTGCAATTAATTGCAAAGTCCCTCTTTGCCATGAAAATGAACTTAATCCCCCCAAAAAACATTTCCACTACATTTCAGCCCTGCCACAAAAGGACCAGCTGACATCATGTCAGTGATTCTCTCGTTAACACAGGTGAGAGTGTTGACGAGGACAAGGCTGGAGATCAGTCTGTCATGCTGATTGAGTTAGAATAACACACTGGAAGCTTTAAAAGGAGGGTGGTGCTTGAAATCATTGTTCTTTCTCTGTTAACCATGGTTACCTGAAAGGAAACACGTGCCGTCATCATTGCTTTGCACAAAAAGGGCTTCACAGGCAAGGATATTGCTGCTAGTAAGATTGCACCTAAATCAACCATTTATCGGATCATCAAGAACTTCAAGGAGAGAGGTTCAGTTGTTGTGAAGAGGGATTCAGGGTGCCCAAGAAAGTCCAGCAAGCGCCAGGACCATCTCCTAAAGTTGATTCAGCTGCGGGATTGGGGCACCACCAGTGCAGAGCTTGCTCAGGAATGGCAGCAGGCAGGTGTGAGTGCATCTGCACGCACAGTGAGGCAAAGACTTTTGGAGGATGGCCTGGTGTCAAGAAGGGCAGCGAGGAAGCCACTTCTCTCCAGGAAAAACATCAGGGACAGACTGATATTCTGCAAAAGGTACAGGGATTGGACTGCTGAGGACTGGGGCAAAGTCATTTTCTCTGATGAATCCCCTTTCCGATTGTTTGGGGAATCCGGAAAAAAGCTTGTCCGGAGAAGACAAGGTGAGCGCTACCATCAGTCCTGTGTCATGCCAACAGTAAAGCATCCTGAGACCATTCATGTGTGGGGTTGCTTCTCACCCAAGGGAGTGGGCTCACTCACATTTTTGCCTACGAACACAGCCATGAATAAAGAATGGTACCAACACATCCTCCGACAGCAACTTCTTCCAACCATCCAAGAACAGTTTGGTGACAAACAATGAATGAATGCTTGTAATTATACTTCAGTATACCATAGTAACATCTGACAAAAATATCTAAAAACACTGAAGCAGCAAACTTTGTGAAGACCAATACTTGTGTCATTCTCAAAACCTTTGACCATGACTGTATATAGTAATTTTTAGATATACAGGGTAAAGTTGATAAATTCATAACGAGGACAGCAATCACTTTTGCGAGGCGCACTGCATGGCCGAAGCGAGAGTAGAAGAGATGATCACTCTGTAAAAACCTCCAACCGGTCAAAACCATTCCATTTTGAGATGGGGGTGAAATCCAAAGTTCTGCTATACACTCAGTGGCCAGTTTATTAGGTACACTCCTCTAGTACCAGGTCGGACCCCCCTTTGCCTCCAGGACAGCCTGAATTCTTCGGGGCATGGAAATGTTGCTCAATTGGTATCAAGGGACCTAACGTGTGCCAGGAAAACATTCCCCACACCATTACACCACCGCCACCAGCCTGTACCGTTGACACCAGGCAAGATGGGGCCATGGACTCATGCTGCTTACACCAAATCCTGACTCTGCCATCAGGATGACTCAACTGGAACCAGATTCGTCAGATCAGGCGACGTTTTTCCACTCCTCAATTGTCCAGTGTTTGTGATCACGTGCCCACTGGAGCCGCTTCTTCTTGTTTTTAGCTGATAGGAGTGGAACCCAGTGTGGTCGTCTGCTGCAAAAGCCCATCCGTGACAAGGACCGACGAGTTGTGCACACCACTGTAGTACTGTGCTGTTATTTGCCTGTTTGTGGCCCGCCTGTTAGCTTGCATGATTCTTGCCATTCTCCTTCGACCTCTCATCAACGAGCTGTTTTTGCCCACAGGACTGCCGCTGACTGGATGTTTTTTGTTTGTCGCACCATTCTCGGTAAACCCTAGACATTGTTGTGCGTGAAAAGCCCAGGAGGCCAGACGTTTCTGAGATACTGGAACCGACGCACCTGGCACCGACGATCATACCACGCTCAAAATTGCTTAGGTCATTCGTTTTGCCCATTCTGACATTCAATCGAACAGTAACTGAATGCCTCGATGCCTGTCTTCCTGCTTTATATAGCAAGCCACGACCACGTGACTCACTGTCTGTAGGAGCAACCATTTTTGTGAACGGGATGGTGTACCTAATAAACTGGCGTAGCTAATTTGTAAACAATAAATATTGAAACATTACTAGCACAAACACTTAATCTGCTAAAATATCAAGTTCATTAGTGGGTGATGGTGATTTCAGAACCAAAGTGGGGGGACAAAAAAACATAGGCTACATTGTCCCTCCTATATCTGATAGTGGTAGTGGGGTGGTAGATGCCTAGTCTCCCTTATGGTTCAGCTCAGGTGCCTACATAGTACATACACCATAGACATACATCATTTACACGCGCACACACACACACACACACACACACACACACACACACACACACACACACTCTCATTAGTCATCTTAGACAGATTCAGCTCAGAGAGGCCAAGCTCATCAGCAGCAGTTCCATCAGCAGCAGATTTAAATTTAGAATAGAAAATGTGTGTTTATGCAACAAATGTTAGTGAATCGCATCGAATCAAATTGCATCGATTCATCCTGTAATCAAACCAAATCGCACCGAATCATTTCAAACTAAAACGTATCGTTCCTGTATCGTATCGGAGCACATGTATCTAGATACGTATCGAATCATCTTGAAAGGGAAAGATGCACATCCCTAGTGAAAATGGCGTGTTTCTATGACCTGTGGTTAAAAAGATCAGAAGAAAGGTCCTAAAAAAAATTTTCTCTGTGACATCACAGGGTAGGATTAAAAATAAGAAAACCAGTGATTTTCTAAACCTGCAACGAGTTTCTAGCCAGGATGAGGGTATTTTCTTGCTCCCCACGTCACTGGGAATCTCATAGTGTTTGAAAATCACTGTTTTTAAAATGTTTTAATCCCTTACACTCGTGGAAATTGGCCTGTATGGATAGGGCCAAATGGATATGTTTCTAACAGAAAAACTACAAAAATCATATGCATGACCATGGTAGCAATTGAAAGAGAACACTTTGTAGATTTATGGGGATATTATCAGAACAAAGGTGAGGACAACCGTTCCCCTGACACAAGACTGAATCCAAACATTACACTCTTGATTTTATGTGCTTTTCATTTGTCAATAACGAAATCTGAAAATACTCTGGATACATTCAGTAACATAATAAGAATATTCATTGAAATTTGGAGTAGGTGCAAGATAATAAAATAAAATAAATGATTACAAAGGTTTGCTTTAGAGGTCTAACTGGTGTCTCCAAGTGGCCACACACCTCTCCAAACTGTGCACAGTTCCTAAGTCATTTCAATGCACTTTTATGACTCAAGGAAAGAGCCTTCAAATATAAGGTGCATTTTGAGGTCTCCTAGCTTTGCCATTGAGGAACTGAAGCAAGCACACTTTTGTTTGCAACACAGTCCTCACACGCAATCCAAAAACGTTCCATTATAAATCGCAATCTGGGTCAGGTGTGCATCATTTGAAAGCTTATTCTAGTGCAAACATGGCTAGCTAAGTTATACAAATCTTAGTATTAGGCTTTCAAAAGGCACTTCAGACAAACCAATCGTAATTTTGGTGTGCATAGAATGGAGTCCAAGTGCGTGTTCCGTTGCTAATTTTCTTCACAATACGACAAACAGGCTCATTCTGTTCAGGACAACCCAGGGTATAACTCATGTCAGCCTTCTAACTGTGGATCTAACATAGCGATCATAAACGTTGATACTGTACATTTAAATGTACGTTTTCAAATATGGAAATGTGAACATTTGAACTCATGGGTGTGTGGTTTGCTTGTACGACATCAAAGCGGTATTCATTATAATCCTCAATGTTTCATCTTTCAGAACACATCGACTCCTCTCGATTCACAGCATTTCCCTCACCCAGACAAAAACAAATGTGCAAAAGTACCCAATTAGCGAGAGTGATGGGGGCAACATCCTGTCGCACGCGGTGCTCAAGTTTATAATGACTGTCAGTCCAAACCCATACAGCGCTGTGACGCAGAGACCTTGAGCTCTGACCTCATGTATAGCATGTTACTTTAAAGCCACTGCGGTCCAATTTAAGCACTTATCAATGACAAAATCTGCCATTTCCAACCCGTATACGGGATGACTGGGTCTGTGAGTGGAAAGGGTTAACTTTTGATGATGTCGTCGGGTAGAACTTTTTTACTTTATATTTCTTTCAAAAAAATGTAGAAATGTGGCGTTGTTCACATATGTAGACACTGGTATTGTGTGGGAAATAATGAATATGAAGTTGAAAAGTGGTGGAATTGCCCTTTAACAGATTGATGTTATTGTGATTCAGAGAGAGCCTTGCCTCATCAATACCTAATGAGCACTCTGTTTTCTCAAGATAGTCTCGCTTATCTGGCCCCTCATTTACGATATTGACAGCTTTGCTTAATCTGTAACTCATTGACTGCTGGAACCATAATGTCTTACTAATTCTCCCTCCCATACCATCTCATTAGGAGCATGTCTTCACTACGTAGAGAATTTTGTATTTTATTAGGATCCACATTAGCTGTTGCTAATGCAGTAGCTACTCTTCCTTTGGTCCACACAAAACATACTTAGTACAGAACATTGATAGACAAGAACAGCTCAAGGACAGAGCTGCATACATGTATATGATAATATAAATAAAAAAGGTCCTGTACAAAAACACTGAGAAGACAGAGAGACCCATACTATAGGCCTACAGAGTCCAGACATGTTTCTAACATGTCTTCCTGCAATGTGCTCTCCCAGGGTCGTCTGCAGTCCCAGGACAGTGGGAAGCACCTGCATGATGTGGAGGACCTGCTGCAGACTCACAACCTGGTGGAGGCAGACATCTCAGCCCAGGCAGAGAGGGTCCGCGGGGTACAGAGAGCTGCTCAGCGCTTCACCTCCGACCAACAGGGTGAGACTACAGACATGCACACACATTTTATACACACATTGCTACTGTTTGAGTAACTATGAAAGGGATAACATTAGACTACTATGCACTATGCAACATTTGTTTGGATTCCCCCCACTGCTAACTAAATAACGATTTATTTTTCTCCATGTCTCTCTCTCTCAGTCTACAAGCCGTGTGAGCCGGCGCTGGTGGGAGAGAAGGTGTCTCTGCTGGGCCGGGCCTATGAGGAGCTGGGCCAGCTAGCCGGGGAGCGTAGGGAGCGCCTGGAGGACTCACGGCGCCTCTGGCAGTTCCTGTGGGAGATGGGAGAGGAGGCGGCCTGGATCAGAGAGCAGGAGCAGATCCTGTCTGGAGGAGACTGTGGCCGCGACCTCACCTCCGCCCTGCACCTCCTCAGTAAGCACGAGGCCTTCAGGGACGAGATGGCAGCCCGCTACGGCCCTCTGGGCCACAGCATCGCCGGCGGACAGACCCTGGTGGAGGAGGGACACTTTGGAGCCGCCGAGTGCACTGAGAGGATCAGGGACGTCCGTGCTCAGTGGGCACACCTGGAGGAGGTCAGTGGGCAGGGGAAAGGAAAAGGAGATGGACAAGTCTGGAGAGTAGTCAGCCCTCTAGCAAAATGAATATATAGACTTGATGTATTTCCTCTGTTTCTATTCTGATTCCTTCTCTCTCCCTCCGTCCCCAGACATCCCAGCTGAGGGAAGAGCAGCTGAAGGAGGCGGTGGCCCTGCACCAGTTCCAGACTGACGCCAACGACATGGAGGCCTGGATCCTGGAGACGCTGCGCCAGGTGTCCAGCCAGGAGGTGGGCCACGATGAGTTCTCCACCCAGACCCTAGCCCGCAAGCAGAGGGAGGTGGAGGAGGAGATCCAGAGCCACCGCACCCTCATCGACTCCCTGCATGAGCAGGCCCTCGGCCTGCCCCCAGTCCATGTAAACTCCCCTCAGGTCAGTTACCCCTGGAACAGTATACCAAACCAACTCACACTTTCTACACTACTGCACACTCTCCCGGTTCTCCCTGCTATTCTCTGTCAGGAGATCTTTAGCGACTGTGTATGACTGTCAGCGGAGCGTTTGGCTGATGGTGCTATGTCTGGTCAGAGGAGCGTTCTTGATGGGCTATGACCTGGTATAGGGGTTCTGCTATTGACTCTGGTCAGAGAGCGTTTCTGGTGACAGTTGCATGATCTGGTCAGGAGCGAGCTGACTGGTGCTTGACTGGTCAGGAGCGTCCTGGTGGTTGCTTTGACTCTGGTATGACTCTGGCCGATGGTGCTAGTAGAGGAGTTTGTCTGATGTTGATGACTATGGCAGAGGAGTGTTTGGCTGTATGGTTGATTGACTGGTCAGAGGAGCATCTTCTAGCTGACTGGTTGTTGCTGTCTGTCTGTGTAGGTGGAGGGTCGTCTGCCTGCTATTGAGCAACGCTATGAGGAGCTGGAGTCTCTGTCTGCATCGCGGCGTCAGGCCCTGGAGGGGGCGCTGGCCCTCTACCGCATGTACAGCGAGGCGGGCGCCTGCCAGCTATGGGTGGGGGAGAAGGAACAGTGGCTGGACGGCATACAGATCCCCACCAAACTGGAAGACCTGGAGGTGGTGCAGCAGAGGTGAGCTGGGGAAGGGAGAAATAAGGGAGGAGTGTTAGAATGGTGGGATAGGAAGAAAGAGATGATCTGTTAGTTAAATGGCCTTTTCTTGATTGATATCGATCTGTATACTCTGATCATTGTGCTTCGGTAAGTGGAGCGGATATCAAACTGAATCTCTCTCCTCCTTTTAACATCAAAACAACGTTTGGGTATGATAACGCTTCCTATGATTATATTTCATTGTAGAGACAAAGCAATGGAAATATGAGTGGGAATATGAGACTGTCTGATGTATCTATGTGTGGCTGCAGGTTCGAGACCCTGGAGCCTGAGATGAACAACCTGGGGACTCGTATTTCTGATGTCAACCAGGTGGCCCAGCAGCTCCTGGGATCAGACAACCGCAGCAAAGAGCAGATCCACCAGACACAAGACCAGCTTAACAACAGGTTAGTAGTACCTGACATGTCTCAGACATGAAAAACACACATACCATCTGATACACAACCAATACACTGCATGAAGTGAGCACTGGGAACAGGTAATTGAGACTTCCCGTTGCTCTGGTCCCCAGGTGGAAGGAGTTCCAGCGTCTGGCGGAGCAGAGGAAACATGCCCTGGAGTCGGCCCTCAACATCCAGAACTACCACCTGGAGTGTAACGAGATCCAGACCTGGATGAGAGAGAAGACCAAGGTGATCGAGTCCACCGAGAGCCTGGGCAACGACCTGGCTGGTGTCATGGCCCTGCAGCGCAAACTCACCGGCATGGAGCGAGACCTGGAGGCCATTCAGGTATGTCAGGGTCAAAGGTTATGGAGGTGGACAAAGACTTAGGGTAAACCTAATGAAACCACAGCATCAGATAATTTTAAAGAGATAATCAGTATTGTTGATTCATTAATTGTTAAAGAGATCATCAATACTTTGTATCATTTTATGTCAGATTATGTTGGTGACACCCAGGTTTATTTTCCATATCTTTTCAGGGTAAATTGGATGACCTGAGAAATGAGGCTGAGAAGCTGGCTGAGGAGCACCCGGACCAGGCCGAGGAGATCCATGCCCACCTGGGGGGGATCCAGGAGGTGTGGGAGGAGCTCAACGCCACCATGAAGCGTCGTGAGGAGTCTCTGGGCGAAGCCAGCAAGCTGCAGGGATTCCTCCGGGATCTGGATGACTTCCAGTCCTGGCTGTCCCGCACACAGACTGCCGTGGCCTCAGAGGACATCCCCACCTCGCTGCCAGAGGCTGAGCGCCTGCTCACCCTGCACGAGAGCATCAAGAACGAGTGGGACAACTACAAGGAGGACTATGAGAAGATGCGGGCGGTGGGTGACGAGGTGACCCAGGGCCAGACGGACGCCCAGTACATGTTCCTGGCCCAGAGGCTGCAGGCACTGGACACCGGCTGGCAAGATCTGCGCCGCATGTGGGAGAACCGCCACAGCCTGCTGGCCCAAGCTTTTGACTTCCAGACCTTCCTGAGGGACGTCAAGCAGGCTGAGGGCTTCCTCAACAGCCAGGTGAGGACCAGGACACCAGGGGAGGAGAAGAAACATACAAATATACTGTTTATCTTGATGAAGTTACCAATGGTTCTCTCTCCCTCTCTCTCTATAGGAGTATGTGCTGTCCCACACTGAGATGCCCTCAAGCCTGCAGGGAGCAGAGGAGGCCATCAAGAAGCACGAGGACTTCCTGACCACCATGGAGGCCAGCGAGGAGAAGATCACGGGCGTGGTGGAGGCCGGACGCCGCCTGGTCAACGACCTCAACGCCAACTCTGACAAGATCCAGGAGAAGGCCGACTCCATCCAGGAAGACATCAGAAGAATAGGGAAGCTGCAAATGAACTCCTGTCTAAACTGAAGGACAACCGTGAACTTCAGCACTTCCTGCAGGATGGACAGGAGGTACGAACCGTCAACTAACTCTTACTATAATAATGGTGGTGTGATACATTTTATTGAGACACTGTTTGTCCTGTAATCAGAAATCTTAAAAATCAGCAGTCAAAGTAATTAACCTGAGGTTCAGGTCATTGAGTAATGTCATTCTCCTTTATCTCTGCAGCTGACTCTGTGGATCAATGAGAAGATGCTGACAGCTCAGGACATGTCGTATGACGAGGCCAGGAACCTCCACAGCAAGTGGCAGAAACACCAGGCCTTCATGGCTGAGCTGGCCTCCAACAAGGACTGGCTGGACAAGATCGACAAGGTACAGTATGACTATGAAGGATTAAATAGTCAAGTCAGGAAGAGTGGAAAAATAAATCAGAAAAGGTGTGTGTACCTATATTTTACTCTGACCCTCTCTCCCCTCTCCCCCATTAGGAGGGCCAAGTGCTGGTGACAGAGAAGCCGGAGCTGCAGCCTGTTGTCCAACAGACTCTTGAAGGCCTGCAGAGCCAGTGGGAAGAGCTAGAGAGCACTACGCGCACCAAGGCACAGTGCCTCTTCGATGCCAACAGGGCGGAGCTCTTCACCCAGAGCTGCTCTGCCCTGGACGTGTGGCTGAAGAACCTGTCAGGACAGCTGCAGAGCGACGACTTCGGAAAGGATCTGACCTCCGTCAACATCCTGCTCAAGAAGCACCAGGTGGGTGACATTACACTGTCCAATCCAAGCACCATCTTTACCACTTCAAGTTCTCAGTTGTCATACTCCTTTGTGACTATTTGAATGGATAAGTGTCACTTCAATATCTAAATAAAAGAGGGTAATAACAAACATGCTCTCCTCCTTCTCCCCGGGTCTCTGTGTAGATGCTGGAGCACCAGATGGAGGTACGTGAGAAGGAGGTGCAGTCGCTGCAGTCCCAGGCCCTGGCGCTGTCCCAGGAGGATGCTGGTGTGGCTGTGGTGGAGGTGGACGGCCAGCAGAGGAGAGTCACCGACAGCTTCTCCCAGCTCCAGGACCCCCTCAACCAGAGGAGGCAGCAACTGCTCGCATCCAAGGAGGCCCACCAGTTCAACAGAGACCTGGAGGATGAGATTGTGAGTGGGATCACCTGACTGAGATTTTAATACAGAATCATCATGTGTGTCGTATGCACAGTTTCCTCCTGTTTGTAATTCTTGTTTACTTTCTTCTGTCACTTAGCTGTGGGTGAAGGAGAGGATGCCCCTGGCCACCTCCACAGACCATGGCAAGGACCTGCCCAGTGTGCAGCTGCTCATCAAGAAGAACCAGGTGCACAGATGAGGGAGGAAGTCTGGACTTTTATCAGAGCGAAAGGACAGTGGGAGGAAATAATGAACATTAGAGAGGAGGTGTTGCATTTGGCTAAACCTTTGTTTTGTCTCCCAGACTTTGCAGAAGGAGATCCAGGGCCACCAGCCCCGTATTGATGACATCCAGACCCACCGCCGGGGGATGTCCCCAGGGCAGGAGGAGGTGGACGGGGAGTGGCAGTCTGCTCTGGAGCGCCGTCTGGTGGAGCTCCGGGACTCCTGGGCCCAGCTCATCGCTGAGACAGATGAGCGCCACGCCCGGCTAGTGGAAGCTAACCGTGCCCAGCAGTTCTACACCGACGCTGCCGAGGCCGAGGCCTGGATGGGAGAGCAGGAGCTACACATGATGTCAGAGGACAAGGCCAAGGTGAGTGGAGAGACGGGCTGTAGCAAAGAGCTATCTGTGTTAATGATGATGCTAATGATGTCCATTCTGCACACTCGAGTGCTTTGTTTATCCTTTGCTTAATGATGCTGACTCCATATCTGTGATGTGTGTGTGTGTGTGTGTGTGTGTGTGTGTGTGTGTGTGTGATGTGTGTGACGCAGGATGAGCAGAGTGCTCTGGTGATGGTGAAGAAGCACCAGACGCTAGAACAGGCCCTGGAGGACTACGCCCAGACCATCCACCAGCTGGCCAACAGCAGCCGCACCATGATGACCAGCGAACACCCAGAGAGGTGAGAGAACCCAACAGGTTAATAATGTAGGGATGGGCCAGTAACCAAGTAAGCATTGGGCCAGTAACCAAGTAAGCATTGGGCCAGTAACCAAGTAAGCATTGGGCCAGTAACCAAGTAAGCATTGGGCCAGTAACCAAGTAAGCGTTGGGCCAGTAACCAAGTAAGCATTGGGCCAGTAACCAAGTAAGCATTGGGCCAGTAACCAAGTAAGCGTTGGGCCAGTAACCAAGTAAGCGTTGGGCCAGTAACCAAGTAAGCGTTGGGCCAGTAACCAAGTAAGCGTTGGGCCAGTAACCAAGTAAGCATTGGGCCAGTAACCAAGTAAGCGTTGGGCCAGTAACCAAGTAAGCGTTGGGCCAGTAACCAAGTAAGCGTTGGGCCAGTAACCAAGTAAGCGTTGGGCCAGTAACCAAGTAAGCGTTGGGCCAGTAAACGAAAGGTTGCTAGTTCAAATACCCGAGCCGACAAGCTGAAAAATCTGTCTGTGCCCTTGAGCAAGGCACTTAATTCTCATTTTCTCCTATGGCTGACCCTGTAAAACAACGCATTTCACTGCACATATCCAGTGTATGTGACAATAAAATAAAACAGCTTTAAAAGCTGAATACGTAAAGCTAATACTTTACAATATGATTTAACTACGGTCACAATGTCCCTGTCATTACAACTGGCCTGACTCGCTTTCTCTCTCTTATTCCCCACTATTATTAGCGAGCGTATCAACCTACGGCAAGCACAGGTGGACAAGCTGTACGCAGGGCTGAAGGACCTGGCTGAGGAGCGTCGTGGGCGTCTGCAGGAGAGGCTGAGGCTGACCCAGCTGAAGAGAGAGGTGGACGACCTGGAGCAGTGGATTGCTGAGAGGGAGGTGGTGGCTGGATCCCATGAGCTAGGACAGGACTACGAACATGTCACAGTGAGTAACACTTTGGTTACACTTTTGGATAGTCCATCTGTAGATGCTCTACAGACTATCTACAGACTGTCAGTAACATTTCAACTAACTATCTACTAGCCCTAACCCTGAACTTAACCCTTATCCTAACCCCAGTGCTAACCTTAACCCTAACCCTTATTCTAAACCTAACCGTAACCTTAGCAAGTAGTTGCTTATCAACAGATGGTTTGTTGTATGATAGTATGACTTTATTTGGACAGTCCATCTGTAGATGCTCTACAGATGGACTATCCGGACTGTCCAAATAAAGTGTGATCTTCAACTACTTAGTAACACATAAACACAGACTTAGAAACACAACACACACAGGCACTGATTGCTCACCAACAACCCTTTTTTCTTTGTCAGTTACCTTCAAGAAGTATGATGATGGTCATCCATAATTAATCCCCCCTCCTCTCCTCTCAGATGCTGCGGGACAAGTTCCGGGAGTTTGCTCGGGACACCAGCACCATCGGCCAGGAGCGCGTGGACGCCGTTAACGGTCAGGCCGATGACCTCATCGAGTCGGGTCACCCTGAGAATGCCAGCGTGGCAGAGTGGAAGGACGGGCTGAACGAGGCGTGGGCCGACCTGCTGGAGCTGATCGACACACGCACCCAGATGCTGGCCGCCTCCTACGAGCTGCACCGCTTCCACCAGGACGCCCGCGAGGCCATGGGGAGGGTCAGGGAGAAGAAGGAGGCTCTGCCATCTGACCTGGGCCGTGACCTCAACACCGTCCAGCACCTCCACCGACAGCACAATGCCTACGAGCATGACATCCAGGCCCTCAGCGGGCAGGTAGGCTGCTGCTCTTAACTCCTGACTGCACAATGGATTTCCCTTCAGGGACAATAAAGAAATTGCATTGAATTGAATTAATGTTGCACCATACCACAAGAGTACAGGGATACTTACAGGAACACCAGTGGGAGAAATAACACACACTCTGTCATTACACACTCTGCACAAACTCAAATATTAGATTTAATGCAGTGCAGGTGTTTTTTTTTAATGCAGTACAGGATATTAGCAATTTGTCAGAGCACATGAAGTGGCAGGTTAATGGTTTTTAAGATCCCGTCTGCCCCCTCCCTCTCCCTCCTCAGGTGAATCAGGTGCAGGATGACGCAGCGCGGCTGCAGAAGGCCTATGCTGGGGAGAAGGCTGAGGAGATCCAGCGGAGCGAGCACTCTGTCACTGAGGCCTGGGAGGGTCTGCTGGGGGCCAGCCAGGCTCGCAGACACCTTCTGCTGGACACCGTGGAGAAGTTCCGCTTCTTCAACATGGTGCGTGACCTCATGCTGTGGATGGACGGGGTCAACCTGCAGATCGATGCCCACGACAGCCCCAGGTCAGACCTGATCATTGTTGTTCTCCAATGTTGGTTGTGTTAAGGTCAATAGTTAGGGCGCCTATATGAAGTCCCTTTTACCACTGTATTCCGCTCTCCCTCCCCATCCTCTCTCTCTCAGGGATGTGTCCTCTGCGGGGCTTGTCATAGCCAACCATCAGGACATCAAGTCCGAGATCGAGACCCGGGGAGACAGCTTCACCGCCTGCAATGAGATGGGACACTCTCTCGTCAAGAACAACCACTATGCATCTGATGAGGTATGGGCTTGGGCATGTCACCGTTACACCACATACAGTACAGAACACACTCCCGTCAATTCACACACTATAGTATTTAGTCAAGGGATTGGGACAAAAGCCATTGTCAAAGTTGTGTTTATGCAATGTGTGAGTGGTGTTTGCATTGTACCTCAGTGTGTATTGTGTAGCTTGTTCATGTGATGTTATTGACCTGCCTCCCTCAGATCCGGGAGAAACTGGACCAGCTCCAAGGCAAGAGGGACGAGATCAACAACAAGTGGCAGGACAAGATGGACCACCTTATGATAGGCATGTGGACTTCAGGCTGTGGTGGTGTTGTTTCTTCATTTGTTTGTGTTTGTATTACATTTTTAATGTTTTACATTTTAGTCATTTAGCAGACGCTCTTATCCAGAGTGACTTACAATTTGTATGTTTTAGCATGTGTGTTAGGTTGTGTTTTAGCATGTGTGTTATGGTGTGTTTTAGCATGTGTGTTAGGTTGTGTTTTACCATGTGTGTTAGGGTGTGTTTTAGCTTGTGTGTTAGGGTGTGTTTTAGCATATGTGTTAGGTTGTGTTTTAGCATGTGTGTTAGGGTGTGTTTTAGCATGTGTGTTAGGGTGTGTTTTAGCATGTGTGTTAGGGTATGTGTTTGCATGTGTGTTAGGGTGTGTTTTAGCATGTATGTTAGGGTGTGTTTTAGCATGTGTGTTAGGGTGTGTTAGGGTGTGTTTTAGCATGTGTGTGTTTGCATGTGTGTTAGGGTGTGTTTTAGCATGTGTGTGTTAGGGTGTGTTTTAGCATGTGGGTTAGGGTGTGTTTTAGCATGTGGGTTAGGGTGTGTTTTAGCATGTGTGTTAGGGTGTGTTTTAGCATGTGTGTTAGGGTGTGTTTTAGCATGTGTGTTAGGGTGTGTTTTAGCATGTGTGTTAGGGTGTGTTTTAGCATGTGTGTTAGGGTGTGTTTTAGCATGTGTGTTAGGGTGTGTTTTAGCATGTGTGTTAGGGTGTGTTTTAGCATGTGTGTGTTTGCATGTGTGTTAGGGTGTGTTTTAGCATGTGTGTTAGGGTGTGTTTTAGCATGTGTGTTAGGGTGTGTTTTAGCATGTGTGTTTTAGCATGTGTGTTAAGGTCTGTTTTAGCATGTGTGTTAGGGTGTGTTTTAGCATGTGTGTTAGGGTGTGTGTTTGCATGTGTGTTAGGGTGTGTTTTAGCATGTGTGTTAGGGTGTGTTTTAGCATGTGTGTTAGGTGTGTTTTAGCATGTGTGTTAGGGTGTGTTTTAGCATGTGTGTTAGGGTGTGTTTTAGCATGTGGTGTGTTTGCATGTGTGTTAGGGTTGTGTTTTTAGCATGTGTGTTAGGTGTGTGTTTTAGCATGTGTGTTAGGGTGTGTTTTAGCATGTGTGTTAGGGTGTGTTTTAGCATGTGTGTTAGGGTGTGTTTTAGCATGTGTGTTAGGTTGTGTTTTACCATGTGGTGTTAGGGTGTGTTTTAGCTTGTGTGTTAGGGTGTGTTTTAGCATAGTGTTTAGGTGTGTGTTTTTAGCAGTGTGTGTGTAGGGTGTGTTTTAGCATGTGTGTGGTGTGTTTAGGGTGGTGTTTTAGCATGTGTGTTAGGTAGTGTGTTGCAATGTGTGTTAGGGGTGGTTTTAGCATGTAGTGTTAGGGTGTGTTTTAGCATGTGTGTTAGGGTGTGTTAGGTGTGTTTTAGCAGTGTGTTGTGTTTGCATGTGTGTTAGGGTGTGTTTTAGCATGTGTGTGTTTAGGTGGGTGTGTTTTAGCATGTGGTTAGGGTGTGTTTTAGCATGTGGGTTAGGGTGTGTTTTAGCATGTGTGTTAGGGTGTGTTTTAGCATGTGTGTTAGGGTGTGTTTTAGCATGTGTGTTAGGGTGTGTTTTAGCATGTGTGTTAGGGTGTGTTTTAGCATGTGTGTTTAGGGTGTGTTTTAGCATGTGGTGTTAGGGTGTGGTTTTAGCATGTGTGTTAGGGTGTGTTTTAGCATGTGTGTGTTTGCATGTGTGTTAGGGTGTGTTTTAGCATGTGTGTTAGGGTGTGTTTTAGCATGTGTGTTAGGGTGTGTTTTAGCATGTGTGTTTTAGCATGTGTGTTAAGGTCTGTTTTAGCATGTGTGTTAGGGTGTGTTTTAGCATGTGTGTTAGGGTGTGTTTTAGCATGTGTGTTAGGGTGTGTGTTTGCATGTGTGTTAGGGTGTGTTTTAGCATGTGTGTTAGGGTGTGTTTTAGCATGTGTGTTAGGGTGTGTTTTAGCATGTGTGTTTTAGCATGTGTGTTAAGGTCTGTTTTAGCATGTTGTTAGGGGGTGTTTTAGCATGTGTGTTAGGGTGTGTTTTAGCATGTGTGTTAGGGTGTGTGTTTGCAATGTGTGTTAGGGTGTGGTTTTAGCATGTGTGTTAGGGTTGTGTTTAGCATGTGTGTTAGGGTGTGTTTTAGCATGTGTGTTAGGGTGTGTTTTAGCATGTGTGTTAGGGTGTGTTTTAGCATGTGTGTGTTTGCATGTGTGTTAGGGTGTGTTTTAGCATGTGTGTTAGGGTGTGTTTTAGCATGTGTGTTAGGGTGTGTTTTAGCATGTGTGTTAGGGTGTGTTTTAGCATGTGTGTTAGGGTGTGTTTTAGTATGTGTGTTAAGGTCTGTTTTAGCATGTGTGTTAGGGTGTGTGTTTGCATGTGTGTTAGGGTATGTTTTAGCATGTGTGTTAGAGTGTGTGTTTGCATGTGTTTTAGTATCTTTTAGCGTGTGTGTTAGGGTGTGTGTTTGTGCGTGATCCTTTCATGGTTACTCATTATTTTCTCCTGTCTCAGTTCTGGAGGTGCTGCAGTTCGGCCGGGATGCGTACGTGGCTGAGACATGGCTGGCAGGCCAGGAGCCCCTGGTGCGGGGGGCCGAGCTGGGCTCTAACGTGGACGAGGTGGAGAGCCTGATCAAACGCCACGAGGCCTTCGAGAAGCTAGCCGCCGGCTGGGAGGAGCGCTTCACCCTACTGGAGAAACTCACTACGGTGAGAGGAGGGGGGACAGGGGGACAGGGGGTGGGGGGCAGGAGGGAGGAGGAGAACAGAGGGCAAGGACTGGAGGGAGGAGGGGGACAGGGGGCAGGACTGGAGGGAGGGAGGAGGGGGACAGGGGGAAGGACTGGAGGGAGGAGGGGGGACAGGGGGCAGGACTGGAGGGAGAAGGGGGACAGGGGGCAGGACTGGAGGGGGACAGGGGGAAGGACAGGAGGGGGACAGGGGGCAGGACTGGGGGGAGAAGGGGAACAGGGGGGCAGGACTGGAGGGAGGAGGGGGACAGGGGGCAGGACTGGAGGGAGAAGGGGGACAGGGGGCAGGACTGAAGGAGGAGGGGGACAGGGGGGCAGGACTGGAGGGAGAAGGGGGACAGGGGCCCAGGACTGTAGGGAGAAGGGGGACAGGGGGCAGGACTGGAGGGAGGAGGGGGACAGGGGGCAGGACTGGAGGAGGAGGGGGACAGGGGGCAGGACTGGAGGGAGGAGGGGGACAGGGGGGCAGGACTGGAGGGGGACAGGGGGCAGGAATGTAGGGAGGAGGGGGACAGGGGTTAGGACTGGAGGGAGGAGGGGGGCAGGACTGGAGGGAGGAGGGGGACAGGGGGCCAGGACTGGAGGGAGGAGGGGGACAGGGGGCAGGACTGGAGGGAGGAGGGGGACAGGGGCAGGACTGGAGGGAGGAGGGGGACAGGGGGAAGGACTGGAGGGAGGAGGGGGACAGGGGGCAGGACTGGAGGGAGGAGGGGGACAGGGGCCAGGACTGGAGGGAGAAGGGGGACAGGGGCCAGGACTGTAGGGAGAAGGGGGACAGGGGGCAGGACTGGAGGGAGGAGGGGGACAGGGGGGCAGGACTGGAGGGAGGAGGGGGGACAGGGGGAAGGACTGGAGGGAGGAGGGGGACAGGGGGCAGGACTGGGGGGAGGAGGGGAACGGGGGCAGGACTGGAGGGAGGAGGGGGGACAGGGGGCAGGACTGGAGGGAGGAGGGGGACAGGGGGCAGGACTGGAGGGGGGACAGGGGGAAGGACTGGAGGGAGGAGGGGGACAGGGGGCAGGACTGGGGGGAGGAGGGGGAACAGGGGGCAGGACTGGAGGGAGGAGGGGGACAGGGGGCAGGGACTGGAGGGAGGAGGGGGACAGGGGGCAGGACTGGAGGGGGGACAGGGGGCAGGAATGTAGGGAGGAGGGGGACAGGGGTTAGGACTGGAGGGAGGAGGGGGGCAGGACTGGAGGGAGGAGGGGGACAGGGGGGCAGGACTGGAGGGAGAAGGGGGACAGGGGGCAGGACTGGAGGGAGAAGGGGGACAGGGGGCAGGACTGGAGGGAGAAGGGGGACAGGGGGCAGGACTGGAGGGAGGAGGGGGACAGGGGGCAGGACTGGAGGGAGGAGGGGGACAGGGGGGCAGGACTGGAGGGAGAAGGGGGACAGGGGGCAGGACTGGAGGGAGGAGGGGGACAGGGGGCAGGACTGGAGGGAGAAGGGGGGACAGGGGGCAGGACTGGAGGGAGAAGGGGGACAGGGGGCAGGACTGGAGGGAGAAGGGGGACAGGGGGCAGGACTGGAGGGAGGAGGGGGACAGGGGGCAGGACTGGAGGGAGGAGGGGGGCAGGACTGGAGGGAGGAGGGGGTCAGGGGGCAGGACTGGAGGGGGACAGGGGGCAGGACTGTAGGGAGGAGGGGGACAGGGGGCAGGACTGGAGGGAGGAGGGGGACTGGGGGCAGGACTGGAGGGAGGAGGGGGACAGGGGGCAGGACTGGAGGGAGGAGGGGGACAGGGGGCAGGACGGGAGGGAGGAGGGGGACAGGGGGCAGGACTGGAGGGAGAAGGGGGACAGGGGGCAGGACTGGAGGGAGGAGGGGGACAGGGGGCAGGACTGGAGGAGGAGGGGGACAGGGGGCAGGACTGGAGGGAGGAGGGGGACAGAGGGCAGGACTGGAGGGAGGAGGGGGACAGGGGGCAGGACTGGAGGGAGGAGGGGGACAGGGGGCAGGAGGAAATGGGTCAAGGTTAAGAGGTCGGAAATGGGAAGATGGTGGACCAGGGCAGGAGTTGGGAGGATGCATGGGCTTGGCATTGGTAGGAAGGTAGGGTAGTGTCTTCTCTAACAGCCACTAACCTGGGCTTCCCTTTCAGCTGGAGGAGCAGGAGATCCAGAGGCAGAGAGAGGAGGAGGAGAGGGCGAGGCGACCCTCCACACCACCTCCTACAGAAGAGGTGGCCCCGTCTGAGGCTGAAACACATGATGCCAGGTAAGACTGGAGGGACTCCTAGTAACCAGAGATATTTGATGTGGTTTTTTTCTTCTCCATAATCTCCCGTTAGACGTCGTTCTCACTCTCTTTCACCCTCCTGTGTAACCCAGGACCAGCCTGGACCAGACCACACTGAACCAGTCAGTATCAGTGAATGGAGTCCACAGCGACCAAGACACCTCACAGGTGAGAGTGAACATTGAGAGACAGAATATCCAAATTGAATCATATCTAGTCAAAGATTCTTACCTCCTGTTTAATATACTCAAATTAAACTATTAAAAGCCCCCCCATTAAACTCCAGATTTAAATATTCCACATTTTCACCACAGTATAAGTCCATAAAGTGTTGTTTCATGTTTTATGTCTTGTTCCTCTTCATGTTGTCTTGTCAATGTATGTTTTGAGGAGATCTGAATGAAAGATTTTAAATGTTCTATGTGTGAGAGAATCTATTTAGTATAACTCATGTGGATAACTGGATCCAAACCTGTAAGTATACGTTAGACGTGAGTCACTGTTTGTCCGTTTATGATATAAGTGTGCGTCACATTGTAATATCTATGTGTGTGTGGTGTGTGTGTGTGTGTGTGTGTGTCAGGGTCTCTTTCAAACACGTTAGCATAGTGTAGCATGCTATTTTCAAGCACAAGGACTTCTTAACTATGTCTTGTTGCATCTTTACCTGCAGTCGTTGTCAGTATCGTCAGTGTCAGTGGAAAAGAAAGAGAAATGTGAACCTGTCTCTAAACCTGTGTCTAAGCAAAAGCATCCGCCGCGTGTGAGTACCTATCCTAGCCCTAGCCTAGCTTCCTCATCCCCCCCCCCCCCCATCACTGCCTGCACTCAGCTCCTGGTCTACTGCAGTACCTCAGCATGGCCTACTAGAGGGCGTCATCGTCCTCTGTCACTGCTGTACCATTTGCTTTATTTGATTGTGAACAAGCACACTGTCCCATTGATGTTCTGGCCCCATGCCTTACACAGATCACATTAATGATGCCATTATGTCTCAATTGAGGAAACTTAGGCTCTCAAGCCTTTCTGGGTGCTGTTTCGTTTGTGCCCATCTTCAAAAGGACCAGGACATGAGTGTTTGTAAGAGCAGTTAGTTGCTGTGGTAGTTTCAGCACCAAACTATTGTGATGAGTGTTGTCCTAAGCTGGAAGCTATAGCTGTTTCCTACATAGCAGGTCCCTGGGTGGGGTGTGCCTAGCTTGGTTGGGTGGTTTTGAATGCAGTGTTAGTATGAAAAGATTTTTTGACAAGAGGAAATGTTGATTTCCTTTAAAATTGAATTTGATGTTGTGTGCCAGGAAACAAAGAAAACAATGCCACACCCCCTTTAAACATTTGAGCAACAAGCAAGCTTGTATCATAGCAACACTATGAGAATGCGTTCTGCTGCATTTGTCATGTTCCAAGTATGGATTGTAAAAGTTAAAACACATTTCTACATTTTTCTAAGTTGCCCTGTAAGGCAGGAAGTGACGTCCAGATGAAGGTTGACCCTCCATCTGTGGGGTTGGAGCTGTTCTGTTCTCCATGTGTCTGTTGCTGTTGCTGTGTTTCTGTGTCAGTCTCTCTGTGTAGTCCTATATGTGTTTTCTACATCCTGTTCAAAGCTACCATAATGCATTTGAATATGGCCATTTTGCTGTTGTCTCTAAAGCGTTGATCATTTTGTCAACTTCAGACCGACAGTCAATGACTGGTATTACAGGCTTATAGTTTGGAATGGTTTTGTTCATGTGTCATGACTGCCGCGTGTCTTCCATGTTGGACGACAGGGTTCTGATTCTGACTCTGTGAATGGTCCGGGGAGAGACAGCGGGCTGGCGTCTTCACGCCTGGACCCATCTGCCACGCTACCCAGCAAGAGAGTTGACCCTGGCACAGACGCCATGGAGGGCATGCTCTACCGCAAGCAGGAGATGGAGTCCCACGCCAAGAAGGCAGCTAGCAGGTGAGACATTGGGAGGGGAATGGGAATGGGGCAGGGGGCATGGAGGGGCGTCTTGGAGGGAGAGTGGGAGTGTACTCAAATGTAAATGGAGAGCCCTAGTTCATATAGACTCATCTGTTGAAGGATGGGATTAATATAAGCAAATGCAATATCAATTTATGAAATGTACATGCTTTTTTAAAAGAAAATTGCATTTTGTGTGTGGTATGTCGCCATGAACTCTTTGGTGATGTTCCTAACCTTTTCAGGCGCATGCCTGCATGCCTTCCGCCAACAGCTTCACTCTCTCTTCCCATAGGTCCTGGCAGAATGTGTACTGTGTTCTGCGTAAGGGCAGCCTTGGCTTCTACAAGGACCAGAAGAGCGCCTCCAATGGGATCCCCTACCACGGAGAGGTCCCCATCAGCCTGGGAGAGGCTGTGTGTGAGGTCGCACACGACTACAAGAAGAGGAAACATGTCTTCAAGCTACGGTGAAAGGAGAGGGAGGGGAAACTGGACAGTTTGAATAGAGAATAGTCTTGTAAACTAAACTAAATAGCAAGGGATTGTGATGTGCATCTATACTGACCCAAGTTTTCTGTTCTACATTGTGTGTCTGCAGGCTAGGGGACGGTAAGGAGTTCCTGTTCCAAGCTAAAGATGAGGTGAGTGTCACATTTCAAACCAAACAAGATTCTGACGCTCCTCTGGTGTATGTGCCCTACTGAGGACTAACCCTGTGTTGTCTGTCCCAGACGGAGATGGCCTCGTGGATCCACTCCATTCATAGCTCCATCCCAGCAGGGGGGTCAGGAGACCGCTCCCCCGGAGGTCCCAGGGCCCTGAGCCGAGCTATGACCATGCCCCCCATCTCCCCCAGCTCAGCGGACGCTGCCGGAGTCACAATGCGCAACAAGGAGGGCAAGGAGAAGGACCGTGAGAAGAGGTTCAGCTTCTTTAGCAAGAAGAAATAAAACATTTGGAAAACAACATCAAGGAAAATGATATTCCTCAAAATTCCAACAAACTGAAACAGGCAGAAAGGAAAGCACTCTTGTCGCATAAACGCATCGCTGTCGGCCCTGGTCCTATGGGGTTTGTCTAGTTTGTGGTTCACACAGAGCTTGCTCTTTCTCGCGCTCTCCTCTCTTTTTTCATTTGTCATCTCTTTCCATTTCATATCGCTCTTGCCTTCTCCATCTCTCACATTGGCTTCATCCTACCAATGTAAGCCCTTGTCCATAGCTTTAGTGGCATTTTCAGCCGATAAGCAGGGTTTGTTGATCAGAGTCACTAATAAGAGCTCTCTTTGACCTCATCATCGGGGGAAACCAAGGGGTTTGTTGGGAGAGAAGAGGGCAGGGGGGGTTAGCATTAGCAGAGCCAAGAGGCTATAAGGACCCTTAGAGTCATTTCTCTTTCATTCAACCACACTGGATAATGTTTTGGTTTATATTAGTCCTGGCTCAACCAATCTTTAGACAAGCAAAGTACTTTAATGCTGTTTTACCAATAACAGAGAAACTGTGGTAGAGGGTGTCCCCAGGTCCCCTCTTCCAGTCTCTCTCCTTTTCTCTCTGGCGCTCCTTGGGTAGGACCACATCATTTTGTTTTTGTTTTTGGTATTGGTGTTATTATAATTTTAATGTATCTTTTTGCAGGTTTGAGGGGGGGGGGGGGGGGATAAACTATTTAAAGAGTATGTCAGTAGATATCTTGAGTCATGTTGCAGAGCAAAACAAGAGTTTGATCTACGGGACCATGTTAGTCTTGTTTCTTTTTTCTAGGAAGGACCGTTATTGAGGTGTTTAAAAAAGAAAGCTCAGTAAATTTTAGCAGTGTGCAGTAAGTGATTTTCACCAGTGGGAAATTATATATATTTAAAGTGGTTTAATTTTTTATTTTAACTTGGATCTTGCCTGTATTCGATTTTGTTATTCTGAGGGATTATTTTTGATTTGATTTAGAATTTCATTTTCTAGTCAGGGAGAGAGTATGAGTTGTGGTGATGTGGGTTTTGCACGTTTTTTTATTTATTTTTTCTAAATCAGAAGCGTCCAGTTGGATGCTGCTTTTCTGACTTAACATACACACACACACACTCACCATACACACACACACTCACCATACACACACACACGCTCAAATAAGTTGTTGGAATGGCTTTCTATAAGGATTCATGTTTTGTTTTTGTTTTGTTTTTGGGGGGGGGGGGGGGGTTGAATATGTAGATGACAATGCGAATTAATTAATTAAACCTTCCTCCTAGATGATTTTCAGACTTCAGTTTTACTCTTCACACACTTCCTCCTGGTCCTTCTGTTGTTTTGTAATGGGAGGGCTGGGGCAGGTTAACACTGTTGGTTAACACTGCCAGTGTCCAACACTAGTGAGGATTGTAAGCAGAAGCACATCCATGTGGCATGGGGTCGGGGAGGTGGGCTAGTAGGAAGAGGGGGGCAGAGGTTTCATTACAGGTGGGGTCGGGGCGCTGAGGAGTGGGGTGGAATTAGAGGATGTGATGTGCTGGATGAGGGAGAAGAAGACCTTACTGCAGCCCACTGACTTTTTAACCCTTTATCAGCCCAGTCATTCCTTCTATTTGAATAGCGCTTAATCACAAAGGAAGCTTAATCGCTCTCAAAACAAATCTCAGAAGAATGTTTAATATGTGCCCCTTGGCATTGACTATATGTATATGGATTCTGTACCCAGGTTCCATTGAGCACATACAGACAGGCCCACCTGCAGCAGCGGTTGAAGGAAGTGAAATGCAGGCATAGCTGTGTTGGATTGGAAGAGGCGTGACCATGGAGAGCTTTCCTCAATTGATGGTTACCGAGAGAATAGTTGTTTTTCTGGAGAGCTTTGAGCTCCTCCATGTGTGGCATGACTTCATGTAGGATTGTACTTGTATGTGTCTCATTGTTGTCACCAATTCTCATCTACTTTGATGTTCTTGGTAAATGAGATTCACCCGTAAGCGATCTATAGCATGGCATGACACCATGAAGCCCATGCTGTGGAAGGTGTATTACACAGGAATGACCAGGTGTATCATTAGTACTGCTCTAGCAGTTTGGAAAGAATTCACATTGGGCAAAAAGAAAAGTATTAAATGATATCAAATAATAGTAAAGTAAAGATTACATTGATACAGATGTCGAGTCCTGGCACAATGAGTGATTTGTTTTAGTGTCTGAGATGAGTGGAAGGTTTCTGTACAAGAGACCGCTCAAGACACGGAAAAATCCTAATTTCTTGTAGGCAATGGTATCTGTTACTCGGTGGTAGACTTATCTGGGGCAAGGGTGTGGCGTATCAAAGCCCAGTTAGGTTATTGTTCAACCGAAATGGCTCACCGTAAACCAGAGAGGGAAAGAACCATGGTGAATAAGTGTCAGAAATGTGCAGCTTTTCAACAGGCAAGACTATTGGCCTTTCAGTCCAGTTCAGTTAATGTGATTTGGGGTAAATAAGCAGCGGTAACCTCATTCGGGAAGCTGTAGAATAGGCCGACTGCTTTGTTTGCCTTGGTTTGTATCCCAGCTGTGAGCCTGAGCTCTTGGTCTCAGCCGAATGTACTGAGCTGAACCTCGGCTCCCTAGTCACAGTTCGAACCCCACTGACCTGTTAAATGAGGCAACAAAGTGGGCGATGCTCAGAGTAGAGCTGAGTGAGCCTTCCTCGGTCAGTATTCACTGTAAAAAACTACTACCAGGGGAAGTTTGTGCCGGATCGGCCCACAGCACTTCTAAAATTAGCTTGTGTCGCCCTCTACTGGCTGAACTGCTCCCACAGTGACCCAGTTCAAGTCCTGGGCAGGTTATACACAGACATGAGCAGGTTCCTCAGGCCCATTCTAGTATGAATTCTTATTGATGTTAACGGCTCTTAAGATGGGTTGGACAAATTGGTCATGTGATGGACATAGGTGCTACTTGGAGACAGTATTTCACATACTTCACCCACACATCTCTGTTGCTTTCTCTTCTCTCTCTCTCTGCTATCTCCTATCTATCTAGCATATATATCTCGCTCTATCTCTTCTCTCTAATCTCTATCTCTCGCTCTCTCTCTTTCTATCGCTCTCTCTCTCTCTCTCTCTCTCTCTCTCTCTCTCTCTCTCTCTCTCTCTCTCTCTCTCACTCACACTCACACTCACACTCACACACTCTCATACTCACACATATCCACACACAGATATACCAAGGTGGAATGAAAAGCAGAAAGATGTGGAGCTGGTTGTGATTTGGTGCCAGATTTGGGTTGATGTTGTTCAGTCTCAGTGTGCTACTGGTGAGCGTTGACCGTAAAAGGATAGACTGTTATTGATGATGAGCCTAAGAGGGTTTTGAGCATTTTGGTTTTAAAAGTTAAAGCGGAACACCTAAAAAGGTCTCTTGGTCTCTTATTTGAAGAGAAAAAGAAACACAGTATACATTAACGAGAGGACTGATGGCAAATTTGAGCTTCCATTTTCTAGACTTAGACAGGAGATGTGCTGTCTCACAGGGGGCTTGTATTTTCTCATCCAGTGGTCTGATCTGTTTTGCAGCATTTGATAAACCTTTCCACCCACTGCCATTTCCCTTTTTTAAGAATGTCAGTTCCTTCTTCTGTGACTTAACTAATTGCGAGTTGTGAATACCACTACTATGATTAATTATTATTATTATTGCTACTGTTATTCCTACTACTGTTACTACTGCAACTTACTTGTTACTACAACTATAACTGCTGTCCATTTTCAGGTACGTGTCTGTAATACCAGACCCTTCCACAAGATGTCAGTGTGCTGTGGAGCATTTTCATTACAGATCGAAAATAATGTTTGTTGACTTGTGTATCTACATCTAATATTAGGAATAATAAAACATGGTTTAAAGGAAAACAAGAACCGTGTTAACCGTGTTACTGGGTTTTGGTGGTAGATTTCTCCAGTTATGGATATGTAAAACAGTGTTTTAAGCAATCACTAAAGCATTTATAAAGGTATTGTATTTGTTCCTGGAGTTTTAAGTCCTGACCTCAGTGGCGAGCCTTTCTAACCTTGGACAGAGGGTCTTTGGCGACACCCCTCAAAGGCCTGTAGACCTGCAGGGTGCCCAGGTGAGGATGACAACTTTCATCACGAGGCACTAGTACTTTTTGATTGTGTGTGCATTCTGTGCCATATACAGTGGGGTCCGAAATAGATTTTGTTTAACGAGTAATAATAATTTTTCTCAGAAAGGTAGGGGTCAAAATGATTGACAACCCGGTTTTCAATACCTCACCTTGCGAGGATAACGACACTGAGCCTTTTTCTAAAATGTTTTATGAGTTTGAAAACCCCATGGGAAGGATCTTAGACAATTTCTGCATACAGAATCCTTCCTGATTGAGCACTGGTAAAAGCAAAGTTGTCCGTGTACTTTCAAGGTGCAGACTTGGGAAAATACAGTCATATCCTCAAGCTTACAGCATGCTGACGCAGAGAGCCGAGGGAGGAAAGGGATTTTGGATATATCCTGTCTCACGTTGGCTGGACTGGAACAAACGCACTTCTTGTTCTTTTTTTTTTTTTTTACTTGGCTGCACATGCCGTGCTCTGTGTACTCTTAAAGTGGCATCTGAGGCACTCTCAGATAAATGTCAATGCATGTCAGAGGCCCAGGTTACCTTACAGGTCTTTCATTATTAATCAAATCAAATGTGATGTGTCACATGCGCCGAATACAACTGGTGTAGACTTTATCTTGAAATGCTTGCTTACGAGCCCTTCCCAACGATGCAGAGTTGAAAAATAATAATAAAATATAATAGTAACCCGAGAAATAAAGTAAAATGGTGAGCGAGGGAGTAACAGTACCAGGTCAATGTGCAGAGAATGCTGGTGGGAGGAACTTTAGGAGGACAGGCTCATTGTAATGGCTGGAATGGAATAAATGGAACAGTATCATATGCATTAAACATACAGTATGGAAACCATGTTTGACTCTGTTCCATTGATTCCATTCCAGCCATTACAATGTGCCTGTCCTCCTATAGCTCCTTCCACCAGCCTCCTCTGATGTGCAGATATTTGTGGAGAAGACTGAGAAGAGCAGGAACTGAGTTTGTTTGATCATAGTATTAGGGGTCTATATAATATTTGTGCCTGCTCAGTTGATCGCTTATTTAACTGTACCAGTAGGTGGACTTATTAAGTGCGGTGGTCATACATTGGTCGATTTCTATTTGGAGTAAATGAAGACCCCTCATTCTCTGCTTCATAATTCTAATGCAAAGAGGAGGCTCAATGGCATTTACATGGTGTTCTAAGAGCTTGTAGGCATGAAATAAACTAATCTTAACTGTCACTTTTCCATCTTCATTCTTTCTGTTAAAGATGTGTCAATGGCCATAACGACCTCAATTAATCAAGTGTCTTGGATACCTTGGCAACTAGCTACAATATATTGAGGCAATTTTAAAAAGCGCAGAGCCCCCCTTCTTCTAGGTCCCCACTTTATTAACCTAACAATGGCCTGTTACCCAGCGACCGTTAAAACTCCTAGAGAAAAGACAAGGAGGTCACAATGCTGTGGAAGCATTCAGCTCTCCCAAGCAAATTGCCTTTGGCATGGTAGCCTACTGATCAGCCTAATATCAACATTTAAAAACTTTGACATGATTAGAAAAGAGAACGGGATACATTTCGTATAATGGAGCTAAGAAAATGGAGAAAGTTAAGTAAGTTGTCTAACTCTTGTTTTTCATGCCTTCATGAAATGTTGATGATGATATGAATGTGTCTTTGACTGGGTTTTGAACACTCGGGATCCTATTCAATCAAACTGATAAGCGAGTTCAGAGTATGATCATACATAATGTTATTTGTGTGCTTTGAGAGTTACGCAATTTGCTTTTCTATTATCTCACACTGAAAAACATTGATTTCTTGAGTGTAAATGGATTTGAGCATTCTTTCAGTGCTATAAAATGTATTTTGATTTTCCAGAAACTTAGTTAACTGCTTTGATTGAAATGGTTTCATAATCACTCATACTTTATCTCTAGTAATCAAAAAGCTGTGGGCTTGTGTTGCATGACTTTCAAATCAAATTTTATTTGTCACTTGCGCCGAATACAACAGGTGTAGACTTTACAGTGAAATGCTTACTTACGAGCCCTTTCCCAACAATGCAGTTCTTTGCTTAAACTCTTATGCATTATGCATGACAGCAAGGCAAGCACTGGGAGGGGAGATGAACACAGTCTGAACACAGGGGAGCTAAAAGTGCACTTATGTATTTTTTTCGGCTCACCAATCCAAGGACCTGGTGGGAAAGGAACTAAAAGTACAGATCCTGAAAGGACTAAAGCTCAGGCTACCGTATGAACACAGGTTGGTGAAACAAACATTCCCCAACATCTGGGCTGTATTTTGGGCTGTACGGAAAGGAGGAAGGGGAAAATAGAATAGTTAGTCTGCCCTTATCTGGAACAGAACTGTTCCCTCTCTACAACATTGTTAGTAGGCCTCTTCTCAAAACCTACTTCAACCCAACCATGTGTAGGCTACACTCAGATTGTATGAAGAGCTTTGTTTTTACAGGTTATGAAATCCTTAAAAAAAATGGCCTGCACATGCTCTGGTAGAAGTTCAGATGTCATTAAAAACAGACGTTATGACATGTTTGTTGAATCAATGCCCAAATAGCTATCAGAGGAGGGTTGTTGCATTTTTTTTATGCTGCCGTCATTGTACTATGCCTCTCTTATGTTTACCACGTGTTTGCTGTCGTTGCTAAAAGAGCACATAGTGGTGATCACTATTCTTA